GAGTCACGTGCACCAGCATGCAGGAAGTGATGCCCATCACGTGTCACCCAACCTAGAAGTGAAGCTGGACTCAATTTTTTCCCGTGATACGACCTGTGATGGAGCTGCAACAACCAGCGATGCAAGTTTGCAGTCCAATTATTTGAAACTGGCCTGCTATGTTGCTGAGAATGTACTCAAGGCAACATTTGAGAAATTACCTTTCGAAAAAATGTTCGGTACAAACATGGCCGGATATTGTTTAAACTTTACGGTACTGTGTGAAGAAAACAACTATTTTATTGCATAGACTAAAGGAGCTATCCAGCATTATCCATAATTTTCACGAAATGAAAGAAGGACCCCCCCCCCCCCGATTGATGTCTGTAATATCAATATTTTTTCGAAACGAAACTCCCCCTGACCCACCCACAAACGAAACTTTTTCTCTTCGTGTAAAAGATCGACAATTACGGACCCGGCATTATCGATAATTTTCACGAAATGAAAAGTTTAGTTATGAGTAACTTGTGACCGTCCCCCACCCCACCTACTCACCCCTCAACGAAAAATAGCTGGAATGGACTAGTGTTTCAGCTATCAATATTTTTCATTACGAAACCCTTCTTGACCCACCCGCCCATGAACGATTTTTTCTCGTTTTGTGTTAAAGATACTCAATCTGTTGAAGATAGATAATTATGGACGGCCCCTAACGTGCCAAGTTAAAAATGAATGGACCGTAGAAGATTGTTTGTGATATCACACGATCAGAACAGGTGACAACCAACACTACATGGCTGTATACTTGATGTGCTGCATTTACTGGGTGCAACGCAGGGGAGTTGTAGCATCTAGGTAGACGACACAGGCGACCGTAAAGCTAAATGACATGGGGTTCGACCCAGGGGTTCCTGTTTCAGCCACCCTTGGGGCACCATTGGGCAGATCTATACACGCTCGTACATGGTATTGCTAACCTGGGCCGTTCTCAGGGTCAGTAGGTCAAGGCCGTGATCGCGGGTTGCACAGATCACGGAGAACCTCCAAATCCTGACCCAAAATTCAATAAAGTATTGTGTAGTCTCCCTACAGTGTAGGTGCTATGACTCCCTAGTATGTACCTGCTGGTAAATAGACAAATTGCAACCAGGCCATAATTTGGATAGAGCAGACGATCCTGTCCTGGACCCTGTTCCACATTCAAAGTATCTAGACTCATATAGTGAGGGAGGAATATTGTGGTACTGACTCCGATTATCATGCACTAAGAAATTATCAAGTACATTGTATATGTAACTGTAAGTGATAATCACTCAAAGTACGAAGCTAACAGTAATATTCACTGGTTAGAGGGAAAGGCACAAACGGGAAAGGTCTGAAGAAAAATTGACTGCCACCACCAGGATTCGAACCAGGGACCTTCGCTTGAGGCCAGCGATGCTCTAATCACTGAGCTAAGGTGTAGCCGTCATCCCAGCCGAGATCGTTCAACATTTTCTTCAGACTTCGTAACGCACACTAACAACATCAGCTATTAAATGGTATATGTACTCTTTTTCGATTGTACATGCAAGCTCTACCTTGTGATGTTGAGCTCTCTTCGTTTGGTGGGGGTACTCCGATCGTCTAATGTGAACCACAGTCCACCTACAATTCTACATTTGCAACGTTGTCCAATGTGCATCTGCACGCATTGTACATAACTGTTACAGCAGAGTGTAGATTATCCACACCCCTCGGGCGCACGCTTTCTCCAGGGGGTTCGGATGGGGAAAAATTCGGATAACGGAGCAGTCACACATCCATCTAAGACTTGCACATTCCTTCACGTTTCCATCATTTCTCACATTCTCTTCACAGGAACTAGACACACTCTAGCTCCTCAATATGAAAACTGGCATTTCGAATAAGTGATTGTTCGGAATATCGGCATTCTACTGTACCGTAAAGTCGCGGATAAAAGCCGGGCTTATAAGCACATAAGCCGCTTTCTCCATCAGGTTTTAATGCAAACCATGCTTATTATGCACCACTGATATTTTTGCCAGACTTGTATGCCAGGCTTCTACGTGCGACACGCGTAGATCTACCACTGACTACCGGTATGGCGGCAGTTTGACTATGCACCATACATAGCGCATGCACTCTTGACCCACCCAATCCGCGCTTGCATAGAGCAAGGCTTCTACACGCGACGGGCTTATATGCATTCGACCCGTTTGATTTTCAGGCTTCTATCTGCGATGTGCTTGTATGCAAACCCTGCTTTTATCCGCGACTTCACGTTATTCATATTCACGCTCTGGAACAGGAGATCCTAGTTCGACTCAGACTGCCCTTTCCATAATACGTTTCCCATGTACTCGCAGTTCTTTTATCGGAACATCTTTTCTTCCCAACCTCAAATCCTGTGCAACACCGGTTGGCTTTCCTCAGTTTCCTGAATAGTGTTACCTCTCAATAGAAGCATGAGTGGCCATCAATATACCGGTATAGTAAAACATGTCCATAATTATCGGAGAAAGGATCGGATGTGGCTAAATAATTTGAAACTGTCCACCTCTCCTCACTGCGCTCTTGGCCCACATTTACCACACCATAGCGAGGAAGTTCGTTCTTGGATAGATGCTCTACATCCTCCAGACATCTATCCAAGAACAAACTTCCTCGCTATGGTGTGGTGAATGTGAGCCAAGAGTGCAGTGGTGGACAGTTGCAAATAATACTACAATGTGCTAAGCAGAACAGAGGCACTAGCACCTGGGTGGAAACTATTCTGAATTTTGAATGCCAGGGAAGGCTGAAGGATGCCCATGAAACCACTGCCAAAGCAAACACAAATTTGAAAAGCAGTGCATGCATGGTTGCGGTGGGAAAAAGGAGCCAAGCAAAGTGTGTACATATTTTTGTTGAAAGCACGAGAATTCAAAGAAAGCTGGCTGCTTCCTCTATTTCCATGATCGGCCAGTGCCTACAGCACGAACAGTACATTGTATTACATGTATGTGCATAGACAGACAAATAAACACTAACCTGAGCATGGGTACCGCTTGTATTCGTGGTCACGAAAGTGAAAGTACGAACGAAGGAGAAGAAGATTGTTGACCATGGCGAACAACTGCATATCCAGAGGGCACACGGCTTGCCAGAATGGGTCGGCTACATCTTCGCTAATTTTCTATCCTAACAACATTCAGCTTCGAGGTCAAGGACGACGGCATTTTTGGAAGGAAATTTCGAATTTTGGAGAAGAAGCTTGCTTTCGGAAAAATGTTCCTTTCACGCAAGGCAGCATGCCAGGTCAGGCGTGTGAACCAGGTGAACTGTGTCGGCAGATCCACGTTTACGTTCCAGGCCGACAGCTTTTTGACCAAGCCGTGAATCGCCCTCGCTCTGACTCGCCCGGCTACGAAGGAGTAATTTTACAACTCTTCAGGCCAGCTACAGGTCTCTGATGCAGAGCTGCAAGTGACGGATATCGGTCATTTGCAGCCACTACTAAGAGCCTCCTGGTCGTTGCAATCTGATACATAATATACCTCAACGCTCAACTCTTTTGTCTATCGTACACACTTTCAACCCGGGCTGAACTCGACCCGGGTTGAAATTTCTCATGTAAACACAGCCTTTCTTTTTCTTTTTACCAGGCGTGGGCCATCCCCTGAATTCATAGGTGCCAAACAAAAACAAAACAAAAACAAAAAAACACAGCCCAACTGTGAAAGAAGAACTGTGCAGGAGTACATGCGAACTCATGTTGTACCAAGAGTACTCGTACATAACAAACGGTTTTCATGTACTCTTGAGTCTTGGTTGTACTGATCATGATTGTCCACACACGGCACACAGTACTCTGAACCAGGGAGTAGTATATATTTATATTTATTACAACATCTCAAGACTCGGTGGAAACACCGGCCAATGTTAAGAGAGTGGGTGATTGCCAACCACGGCGATAAATGAAAATTAGGGGAGGGACAAAGAAAGAGTAGCAAAATGAACAGCAACAACAACTCCGTAAAGAAAGATAATGTCAAAACAGTGAAAAACACAGAGACGCAAAGATTGTACTACCCCCTGCTCTGAACGTGCATGCGCAGCCGTACACACTCCAAATTTGGCTCATGTCCATTTCAAAAATATGGAGGCATGTTATTTTTGAAATATTTCAAATTTGGCAGGAGCTTTTCGAGAATGTCTTTCGGAATATTGCTCAGGTCCTTTCCCCAATTACTCTCATATTGATTTTTAAGCAATCGGATACAGTAGCAAACACCCAATTTCGAAATTGTTATGCACAAAGTGATCACAGATTTTATGTGGGACCAGGTATACGTAGATGATGGCCAAACGGTTTTTTGAAATCAGACGTCTATATTTTTGAAACACACTGTTTGTACGAGGTGATTTGGCTACCAAGAAACCAAGGCTGTGTTTACATGAGGCGTTTCAACCCGGGTTGAGTTCGACCCGGGTCAGATTTCAACCCGCCATGTGCACAAAGTGAATGGCGCGTTTACATGACGCATTGCGCTTGACCCGGGTTGAAATTTCGCCCCGGGTTGATTTCAACCCTCCCCCCAAGGGGAGGGTTGAAACCAACCCGGGTCAAGAAAATCGTACAAACGTACTTCTGTGCGTATCTCGCGCCAGGTTTGAACAGCACTGCAGATGCAAATTTCGCGCGAACGGATTCACGTGACCATGCAGGACTGTAGAAGTGGACTTTTGGCGGCATATCAGTATTTGACCCGGGTCAACTGTCTTCATGTAAACGCTCACCTCTTTTGTCTGTCGTACAGACTTTCAACCCGGGCTGAACTCGACCCGGGTTGAAACTTCTCATGTAAACACAGCCCAAGAGTGCATACCGGTATGTACTCTTGGTACAAACAAGAGTACATATGTACTCTTGGTACAAACAAGAGTACAGCCAAGAGTACATGAAAACCGTTTTCATGTAGTACTCTTGGTAAACACAGTTCTTCTTTCACAGTCAAACCATTGCCAAGAGTAGAAGCACTTTTGGCCGCGCTTTCCCAGAAGTAGTCACCGTTATTTCTCTGTGCGAGCAATCGGCATTTCACAACAGAAAGAGGTCTACCGAAAAAGGGAACTCAAATTTGTATGTTGCATAATTATACTTTACTTGGATCTCGGAAGCTGTGTGCAACGAAGACATCATGAACGCTTCACAATTGTGTGTAAGTACTCAATAATTCTATACTAGTAGCTGTTAGATTTCTTTGTTGTCACTTGTACATGTACTGTGTTATCAAGAACATAATTATAAGTGCCCAAGAGTGTCTAATCTCTAAATCTGCATTCGTGGTCTGATTCTCACATTGTACTTTCGCCGCTGGTTATAACAAGCAGCAGAGTACATGCTCCAGCTTGGTAACCAGAGGTGTCAGTGATAGCTCTACCCGCGCAGCTAGAGAGATTATGTTAATATTGGAGACTGTGCTCGTATTTGTTTGCTCCACTATCAAATCGACTCCAGTATATAATTATAGGCACAAGTGAACCATATCAAGACTGATTTTCTCAGCGCTAAACTCAGGAATATTGTCACAATTGATGTTTCACAATAACATGGACATCGGGAAAGAAATAGTAGCTAAGATGAGAAAAAAATAGTATGATAGATCAATAATTATGATCAAATATGAACAGTATGGAAAATAATAAGATGTCATGACTGTCAGCATCTCAATTATAAATACCATGCAGCAGTGTATTTTATGTGTGTTGTGGATGTACCGTGCCGTAATTTGTAGAGGGGTCGTCCATAATTATCGAATGTTCTTCACAAAAATAATGTCGTTATGGGGTGGGAGGGGGTCGACCAAGTTCGTTTCAGATAACATTGATACATACACATGGCCGTTGGAACAGTGACACACATGCAACTTTTGTTGTATATGCGTGTACTGCATGTCAACGTTTTTTACGTTCTGAGGGGGAGGGAGGGAGGGGCTGGGTCTAATCTAACATAATTCGTTTGGCGAAAAACGTTCGGTATTTACGGACGGCCCCTAATGAGTTGAGAACAGAGGGGGGGGGGGGGAGGGGCTTGAATACGATGATATGTAAATCTAGTCTTTGGTTTGCTACTTCTTTTCCTCTTTATCTCTTTATGATCGGTTTTTCGGGCTTCTTTGTAGCACTGTACACATAGTACATTGTACTGTTGAGCCACCAAAGTAAACTTTATTCAATATAATACAATACAATACAAAAATACGGGTATTGCGATAATTCGTAAACTGTGCAGTTTCTAGCAGAAGCTTTCTGTTGTGCTCTGCTTGTGCATCTGCTATTGCATCTCGCCATTTGCTTTGGATGTTCGCAGATCTTATCGCTGGTCGTGCTTTCTATGTTGCTGGCATGGAGTGCACCGTGCAATGCCAGCACCGTCTGTGGTCCATGTACATGCGTGGACGACTTTCTACTGTCGTGCGGAAACACGACAACCATGTGAGTGTTCTACTTTGTCTGCAGTTTGAAATCTTCAACTTTTACTTAGATCAATCTCAACTCAGCACTTCCTTTTTCTTTTGCGGTAACCATAGCTCACAAGCAGTGAATACATATTGCATATGGGAGCAAAGTGATGCTGAGGCTTGTTGCCCTCAGCCGAAGTGACAGGGACATGATATGGAATTTTAGGAGGAGAGACAGTACACAACCTACTACTGCCTACTGAGTCAAATGACTGTCAATCTCAGTTCGCAAAAACATTTTTTTTGTCAAAATTAAAAATCTCACCTGTAAGACTAGCCACTACACTATACTAGAGCTGTTGGTCCACGGAGTTTGCAATGTACAACTACCATAACCGTACCAGTAAGAGAAGGTTAAAGTTAGCACACACACACACACACACACACACACATGCAGCTTTCTCACTTGCACATCTTCACTCCGCACTTGCTCATACTATTGCTTGACTTGCAATCACGCCTTCTGCACTGTTTCCTAATAAGGATATTAGTGTTTCTTGTATTAGCTTTAGACCCAATTTTATTTACATAGATGGTACCATAGTGCAGGTAGACTCCCTCTAATTCGAATACGGTATAATTCGAACATTCCGTGTAATTCGAACTTTTTCGTCGTACCGATCTTCTGCTAGTCAATTCAAGTCAAAATCGAATGCATAATTCGAAGTACGAAAAGTGCGCCGGTTGGATAATTTGAACCCAGTCTTCGTACAGAAGAGCTGTTTACAGTACATTGGCTATGTCCTTTGAAAGCTTATTTTGAAGTGAGATTGAGTTGCTATCCTTGTAATTCGAAGTTCATCCTTTTCTCCTTCTCTAGCCAAGAGTAGCTCAAAATCGATCGATGGTCTGCTGCAGGATCGACTATAGCGTTCAAGAAACCCACCTTCTCTCGAAATTTGATTCAAACCCGAACGAGGCAAATTGCAACGGTTAAATTGAAGAGGGTGGTGGCGTTCCCACGGCGGATGCGGAAAACTCGGCTTCCAGCCGAGTCTCACGTGAACCGTGAATTTTTTTTATTATTTTATAATTGAAGACGACTTCTTCCAGGTGGCTGACTCTCTTCGCGGATCTTGATGGCCTCTCTTGCCGCGCCAGCTCGTGCGCGGAGATGTTGGCGCACAACAACACTATTGTCGTAAATATTGTCTATGCCTATGCTTCACTTCCGTTCTTCAGAACGACGTGCTGCTGTCCTACGGCCTTTCATGACGCGGATTAGGCAGCGCAGTTCTTTTCCGATGAAATTGTTTCAGGAAAGCTGCAGTGACTGACAACTTTTTCAATAGAAGATGAAGATAATGTCAAAAAGATTTTGTGTCGATGCAGTGTTTTGATGATCCGTTGCACATGACCGGTACGACCACCTATGTTTCATTGATGCAAACAAATTGGGGAAAAATATTCAGCATGCGTTTTCAAGCATTTTGACATACATATCAGTGCATGGGGTTGCATTTGGATAATTAGAAGTTCTAGATAATTCGAAGTTAGGGCCTTGCAATTTGAGGTTCGAATTAAAGGGAGTCTACCTGTATTTCTTTTGTTAGTCCAGTTCTCATTGTGATGAAGATTTCTGGAAAAATGAGGTTAAAATGTATACATAGTGTTCCTCAAGGTATGTATGCGTTTACTATATGGATTATACCAAGAGTCCATAAACAAGAGTATGCAACGGCGATCTCTTTTCTTTGGGCCAGATGCGCGGCGCACTGCCTTCATTACATCATTCAGCTGCAGTCCGCGCACTGCGGGAAATCAAACACCGCACTTTCCCTCTGGTTTGAAATGAACTTTCGTACAGAACTGGAGTTCACGCGCCATAATTCAGAGATCGCGTAGGTACTGGAACGAATTTAGCAAAAACGGATGGGCTCGTACGAGAAATTGTGAGTTTGAATGCATGCTTTCAGAGCATGATGAAGGCAAGTTACGTAATGAAGGCAGCGCATAACCACAGTTGCATACACTCAAACGCCTCTTATCCGGACGCCTCAGATACGGGCACGTCTCTCTACCGGGCACCTTCAGCTTGAGTTCCTATAGCACAAATGCGTCGAATTTGGGTTTTTTGAACTTTTTTCCGTATGTGGAAGTGCTTATGTTTCACTGCCAACCTGTGTAATCCCCACATTTTTATCAATGGGTTCCTTTTGTATCCTCAACATGTGCAATACGTGCCAAATATACTTCTTCAAAAAATGATATCATACATGGTAGATGAGTTATCCTGAGACACGGGCAAATCTGAGATACGGGCAAATCTGAGATACGGGCAAATCTGAGATACGGGCAAATCTGAGATACGGGCAGTGCCCGGTCCCAAGGTGCCCGGATAAGAGACGTCCGAGTGTACTCCTTTTTATGCACTCTTGATTATATTCTAAGGTCTAAGGTCCAAGGTGGTATTTTCTAGAAAATCGTAACCTAAAGGAGCTCCCCAATTTTTTTAGAACTGTTTCTGACTAAGTTGTGGCTGCTTAAGACAATAAAAGTATCGGCAAGTCTGTACAGTTGTCCGTTTGTTAGATATAGCGATCTTCCGCTGCAAACGGAAATTGTACATGTACTCGAACCCAGTCATTGAGTTTAGTGGTTTTCTGTATACAGAGTCCGTTTTAGACTCCAGTTGGTGGCAGTCAGGAAGGGTACGACTCCCATGGTGGCAATAAAACATCATTCAGCTGAATACATTGAAAAAAAGGAAAATGTAAAATTTAGGTGGACTTGCAAGGTCAGTGCGAGCAGCTGTACAAAAACAATCAAATTGATTTTCATGCGAGTCTGTGGCATGGCTGTCAAAAACTTCGAGTTGTGTAATGTGGCACTCAGTCCCTGATGCAAATTTCGTGTTGGTGCTACAGAAATGAAAAGTACATTGGCTGTGTCATGTACTCAAGCGCAGGAGCAATTAGAATACAGTAGCAATGACTCGGAGCCGACATAATTAAATACAAGTGAAAAGACAACCAAACTATTTACATATCTGTCTCATGCGGCTGATGGAACTGCAACCGGTCCCCGAAGTGTTCCATGAGGCGTTGCTTCACCGCGAAAGACCAGTCAATCCTAGTTCGTCCAGGAATCGGCTGTAACGTTTTCCTTTTTATTTTTTTTGGTTTTTATTTTTAATACAAAGCACTGGCCAGCAACATAAAAGGGGAGGTAGACAAAATTGGACAAGCAAACATTGACAACACAGAGGAGCCTGGCATGAGTGCCGATGAGGTAGGTCAACCTCCCCGACCTAGTGGTCTCGGGTTTATCAGTTGGTCTACGCATCAGGAAGGGGAAATACCCAGAGAAAGGGAGAATCAGCATGAGGAGCTTCCCAGGAGAGGAAGAGTGTGAGAGAGAGAGAAAAAATGGTAAAAATAGAGACAACCGGTTATTCTCAGTGCTGGTGGACGTCAGTGGCCCATAGCCAATTGGTCTGGCGGAGGTGATGGTAGGCCTGGGTCTTGAATGGCGGCAATTTTTTGAGAGTTGGGCGATCGGCGAGGATTGGGGCAGGCAGTGTGTTCCAGCTCTCCAGGACAAAGTATGGGAAGGAGCGGCGGATGAACTCTGGACTGGAGGCTGGCAGAGGAGTTGTGAGTGGGAAAGAGTGGCCACCGAGGGACTGGCGTTGCCGGCGCGTCCGGGTGCAGCGTTAACTCTTGCTGGGGGAGGTACCATGTTGGTAAGCAGAGCTGGACCTGGTATGCATTGCAGCTTATACAGGTAGCACAGCCCGTAAACATGCCTTCGGATTGCCAGGCTGGGGAGCAATGAGGGGCCAATAACCTTCATGGCTCGATGCTGGACCAGGTCCAGCTGATGGAGTTGACAATGAGCCGCACTTGCCCGGACGAGAGGGGCGTACTCCATTATAGGCCGTACAAATCCTTTGTACACAGTTAGGCGCCCTGCACTGTCCAGGATCCGAGATGCCTTTCGGAGCAGGCCGAGTCGCTGGTTGGCTCTAACGGCAAGGGAACGGATGTGGGCCCGGAAGGAGAGATTACTGTCAAATAACACTCCTAGCAGCTTGAGCTGAGGGCTCTCAGGCACCTGCATGCCATAAAATGTGAGCTGTGGGACATCCAGGGATGGTCTGTGGCGGTCAAGGAGTATTGCCTGAGATTTTGATGGCTCGAACTTTATCTTCCATTGGGCACCCCAAGTCTGCAGGCAGTCAATGGATGCTTGGAGGCTATTGCAAGCAGCAGCGATGGTATCTTGGTTTCTGATTAGGGCCATACTTCAGTCGTATCTGTTGTGGAGTTACTCTGAGTCAGGACAATAATTTCAATCCATTCACACAACTTCATGATTGCCTGCGCCTCCACATTGCCATTCTGGGCCAGATCAGAATCCACTGCATCATTAGCAAGACGTTTCAGCGACTTCTTGTTTACGTACAGTGAAAAACAGCTACGGTGATACTTGATCTCATTCGCTATACCATCCTGATTCAAGTTAGTTTGTTCAATATTCTAGTGTGGCTGCGTGTACGAGCAGCATCGAGCAGACTAAACTCTGCCTCGTATGTGGCGCACTGAGTAAATTTCTCTACCAAGCGCCTGTTCTGCGCGTCAGGTTTATAACCCGGACACACCATACACTTGCTCAGATCGTGCCTGTTCCGCATCGGGTCTGCCCGCCTGATTTGGCTCCAAAACACTCTTGAGTAAGCCTTTCTTCAAACGTCAAAATGCTTCTTGACGGAATCTGTATGCAGAAACCTACTATACCCTAGAATGACTGGGTTTGAGTCCCTGTACAATTTCCTTATGCAGCTGACGATCGCCATATCTAAGAAATGGACAACTGTATAGACTTGCCGATACTTTTATCATCTTCAGCAGCCACAACTTAGTCAGAAACAGCTCTAAAAACCTTGTGAGCTCCTACCTGCCATGAAACTTCTAAAATGCGACTCTTTTTCGAAATGGGACACTGCACTAATAGTGTTGAAACGAGCGTATC